ACCCTCGAATCCTGGGCAAACCCCAGGGCTTTGGGTCTGCAGGGATCCTACAGGATCCCAAAGGCTCCTCCGGGCACCAGAGCCGCAGGGCTCCCGGGAGACTGGGGCCCCAGCAATCTGCTCCCCCACCCTGACTTGGGATCCCTGGGGATCCCCCAAGGTTCTAGATCCTCAGGGATCCTGGAAGACTCAGGCCCCAGCCATCAGATCCCCAGGGATCCCAGTGGATCCAGGCTCTGGTAACTTCCCACCAGGCTCTCGACTCACAGGATCCCAAGGGATCAGCCTCCAGCACAGTCTCTGCCCAGCCACTGGATCCCTATCCCACCGGTGAGATCCGCGGGGATGCTGGGGACACCCAGCTCCAGATCCCGAGGGATCCCAGGGATCTGAGCCCACAGCTCCCAGCACGAGGATCCCCGAGGCTGCACCCACCTGATCCCCAAGAATCCCCTGACCCTACCAAGCGGATCCAGCAGATCTGGGCTCCCCTCAGGGATCCAGGAAGATCCCGGCTCCATTGCCCGCCCACAGCCACCTGCCATCCCCATCCAGGACACCTCTGTGGATCCTCACAGCAGGAAGGATCAACCACACGGATCCCGGGGAGAGCAGGGTGCTAGGGATCCCCCCGGCGCTGATCCAAGGGATCCCCTGGAGCAATTCCATTTCCCAAGTCCCTCAAAAGTGGGGGAGGGATCGATCTGCCACCCTCTCGCAAGGAGAGATCCCTTGTGGGGAGCGGACTTTTCCCTGGACTGACAGTGGATCCCAAGGGATCTACTCACCTCTCCTTGGACAAAAAGATTTCCTGCAAGATCCCTTTCTCCCTCTCGGCCTGAGTAAAACGTTCCCGGCTTCCACTGCCCGGGACGACGAGGGGAGCGGGGAGATCGAGGAGTTTGGGATAAATCCAGGGCACTTTCTCCTCCATGGCATCGTGGCTGAGGCGCCGGGCCGTCTCGAAGGCGTGACGATCCTTCAGCATCTCCCGCTTGGCCGCCTCCTCAAAATCCTTGATCTTGTTGACGTTGACTACGGGGAGGGGACAACAGCGTCACCCCACAAGCTTGGGGACACCGCGGGGGGACACACACGCACACGGGGAAGGGACGGGACTCACCTCGTTCGGTCTCATCCAATTCGAAGTAGAAGTATTCGCGGAGTTTGCTCTCCTCCGGCCAACTCACTGTTTTCTTTTTCCGACCTTTTTTGGTGAGCTGGCCACTTTCCGACTGGCTTTCGGTGGCTTTGGCGTCACCGCTCGTCTCCGACGAGCCTGCGGGAAGAACCGGCGAGGGGCTCAGCACCCATTTAACCCCCCTACACCCCATTTTTTCCTTCCTGTCACCCCCAAACTTACACGTCTCCATCGGTTCCGGCACTTCCACGGCCGGTACCGGCGTACCGGGTCGATCCGTCTCCATCGGCTCCGACGCCGCAGTGGGCTCCGGGGAGGAAGGTTTGGCGGAACTGGTTTCGGGAGCTGGTTTTCCCTCAAAGGGACTGGGCTAGAGGACAGAGGAGAGGGTAGTTATTACTGGGGGGGATCTCTAGGCGAGGAGGGGACCCCAATAATCCAGGGAAGAGACCCCGATAATCCAGGGAGGCTCCTCCTCACCTTGGTCGCCGTAGGGGACAAAACCTTTTTCTTCTTCTTAATCTTAATTCCGGGGATGGGAGCGGAGTACAGGGACTCGACGCAGACGGGGCATTTCATGG